GGAGCCAACGGCGCAAAGGGAGCCAACGGCGCAAAGGGCGCCGGAGCAGCCAAGTCCCGCAACTAGGTGGTGTCTGCCGGCGAGGCGTTTGTGGTCTCGAGAGCGGCGACTGGCGATGAGGATGAGGAGGAGTAGATGGCTTGAAGACCGAGGGGATACAGCGGCTCGGTTCGCCGTGCACGGTTTGACGGCGGTGTTTGGGGATAGACATAAAAATAGACATGGGATGGAGACCAACATAGACATGGGAATATACCTGGAAAACGGCGCGTGTAGGGTAGGGGATTCTTGTACATATAGGCTGGATTGATGGGTGGATAGAGACTCGCTTAGCACTAGACTTTGCGAAGATAGTTTATATTGGATATTCGATAGTGATTACTTCATCTTCACTTCACACGGTAGAGACTCATTGTGCAGTAGACTCTGCAGGATAGTTTGCATTTCAAGTTTGATGAAGCAAATTCCTGTTTACAGTACCCCCTCACTTCTAGCAACCCCTCGCTGCATAGTACCCTTCTGATTAAACTTCATCATTAGCTGACCTTGTTCTTGTTTATAGTCTCCTCCTAAATAACGCAACTGCAGAGTCCTCTAGCTTACTTGTATAACTTGTCTGGCACTATCAAGGCAAGACTTGGTTAGCTGCTGCCGCTCTTTAAGGCTCTGTCTGCCTAATACTCTGTCTGCCTAGTACTCTGTCTGCCTAGTATTCTGTCGGCCTAATACTCTGTCGGCCTAATACTCTGTCGGCCTAATACTCTGTCAGCCTAATACTCTGTCTGCCTAGAAGACCAATCTAATATAATCCTTCAACCACGATGTATAAAGGTAAACGTAATTGGTAGCTAGACAGCTAGATTAATAAGCAGTAGTTGTTCGATACGCCTACGGATAGGTAGTGGTAGTAGCAAAAGGCAAAAAAAGTGAAAGGGGTATGGGTCAGGGAGATGTGCAGGCCCGCCGGCTGGATTGTGGATTGTAGTGTAGATTGTTCAGCAGCTCGAGCGATAGTTGTAGTATGGTGCCCTTTTACATATTGCATACTTTGTTCTTTTACATATTGCATACTTTGTTCTTTTACATATTGCATACTTTGTTCTTTTACATATTGCATACTTTGTTCTTTTACATATCGCACACTTTATTCTTTTACATATCACACTTTGTTCTTTTACATATCACACACTTTGTTCTTTTACGTATCGCACACTTTGTTCCATACTCGGCCCTTCAATTCTCGTCTGAGATTATACTTGCAGTGCCCAGGTTTAAGGCAAGACGTTAGGTACTTGATCACACTGGACAAAGAGACGTCATCACACTGGACAAAGAGACGTCATCACACTGGACACAAGAGACGCGCTCACCAGACTCTGCCATACTTTACATTGTATATTTACTAGCCACTTCTTCACAGCCGCTCGTCAAACGCTCCGTCTGCTCGTCAACCGCTCTGCGCGCTCGTCAAACGCTCCGTCTGCTCGTCAAACGCTCTGCGCGCTCGCCAACCGCTCTGCACGCTCCGTCTGCTGGCCAACCGCTCTGCGCGCTCAATTCCAAAGCACCTCGCGCAGATTGTCCCACATGCCCAGATCATACACGTTCTCGACGGCGGCCAGGGTCCAGACGCGCTCAAACGCGTCGGGGCCGGCGAGGCGCTGGATGCGCGGCGGGAGGGCCTTGGGCGGCTGGCCGTCGCGCGTGCGCACGAGCACGTGTCTGCTGTCGAGCGGCCAGGACGTGGGCGGCTCTTCGAGCGGGTCGGCCCCGCCGGCGATGCCGTCCTCTCGCCGCAAGCCGAGGAAGACGACGCCGTCGGCCATGTCGTCGCGCCAGTCGGCCCACTTGGCGCTCTCGTTGGTCGTCATGCCCGCCCAGACCAGGTACATGTGGTAGGCGAGCAGGCCGAGCGGGAGCGGCCAGGTGAGCAGGGCCAGCAGGCCGACACCCGCCGTGCTCAGGCCGCCGAGGTCGAGGTACAGAGTCGCGTAGACGGCTGCGTAGTGGGCCTTTGCGGCGGCCCAGGCGGCCCAGCCGCCCGCGCCAGAGCCGGGCGCGGGCCTGTAGGCGTACCAGCTCTCGTGCTTTGCGTAGTGGGCGGCGACGCGCGGGGACAGCGAGACCCAGGCCAGATGGGCGCCGTACGCGATCAGCACGCCGGTGCTCAGCAGCAGCAGCAAAAAGTACTTGTAGTTGCCCCGGCCGAGGCAGTTGTTCACCCAGATGCAGTGGTGGTCCATGCGGGCGACGCACGTCTTGCATATGCTGCAGTGCTTGCTGCGCGCGGGCTTGACGAGCGCGCACGTCGAGCACGTGTTGCCCGGGTGGTAGAGCACGCGGTCGTACGGGTAGTGGCGCATCTGCGCGGCGTGGTTGTCGCGGGTGATGTGAGTCGAGGCATTGCGCTTGGCGCTGAGCCACAGCCAGAGATACGGCTGCGGGAGGAGCGCGGCGGCGAGCAGCTTGTGGGCCGGATGCAGGGACGCCCATGTGGCGGGGAGCAGGAGCGTGGCGCAGGCGGTGACGAGGCCGAGGAAGAAGACGACGATGACGGGGTGTCTGTCGTGCATCAGGTGGTGCGCGAGGCGCGAGCTCGACGACGTGATGCGGCCATTGGTGAGCGCGAGGTCGAGACGGCGCACAAAGGCGGGCAGGTGCCGGACGAAGAGGCGGTTGAGGAAGCCGACGGGCGTGTTCCTGTCTGAATTAGCACGGGACCGTGGGAGGCGAGGCGGAGGTCGGCGGGCGGGGAGTGGGGAG